TCTGCTTTTCTTTTCTTTTTAAATTAAATATTGCAGGCACCAATTTGATGCATTAAGAAGCGTGTCACGGTTTTAACATAAACATTGCTTTGTATTAATGCACAAATTATCATGCAGTTTCTTCCAACAGTGAACCACTTGCCCATCTGTTAGCGTAATAATGACAGCAAAAAGTCTCTCGAGTATAACAAGGCAAATCAGAGACAACAGAAAGCTGATGAATGATATGCCGCGGCCTATGGGGCTTCATTTTCAAGAGGATAATTATAGAGAGGGGCAAGGATGGTACGGAGCCAAAATTCGGAAATGGACAGATGGCTCATTGCTATCTGGCAAAATATGGAGCTTTACCGGGCTCACTGTCTTTTTAACCTCTTCCTGTCAGGGAGTTAGGAAGAATTGTTTATATTCTAAGGGGTTAAACTATATATAGGTTGTTTTTTTTAAATGCAAATTTTTTTGGACCAATTATTTTTGCTAGAACTGCATAACTTGCGATGAACTTAAGTAAAGTCTACGTTTCTTTAGAAGGTTGGGTTAACTCTAAAGATTATGGTCAACGATGAAATTATTGATTCTATCACACACATAAAAAACAAGATATTCTTAAAAGCCCTGCAAGCCACTGAGAAAAAAAAATCTAGTGTAAACGAAAACATCTCTTGTTAATCATTGCTACTAGGATCTGGAAAATCTGCCCAAATAAAGCCACATAATTGCCTTGGCTGACTATAACTAAATCTGCTTCAAGATCTCTAATTTCTAGGTTTTAAATCCTTACAACCCACTAGTGACTTGTATGCATGGAACAGGCCTTCTGTACATCTTGGGATCTGGGTTTTTTAAATAAAGCCCAAAAGAAGAGGTCAAACACTACAGGGGGAACAGCTGGAGGTTCTCTTACTCCTACACATCAAAACAACTGATACCATGACACATTTTGTAACAGTCACGAATCAATCTCTTATTTCAATCTTCTTCCTCACTTTCATTTATCTGTTTCAATGGGTTGTTGTTGGGGTTTTTTTTTACGCTTTCTTTTTATTTATTTCTATTAATATATATTTTTTTCTACACATTCCTACAAGCAAGGATTGCTCTAAATCGGGAATCTCAAACTCCAGCCCCCCTGATGTTGCAGAACAATAATAAACTATTGCATTCAAAAATATTTGGGGGTTGTAGGCCATTAATGGGGGTGTAGGATTTGAGATCCCTACTCTAAATCAATTCATGAATGGATAGACAATGGCATCTCGACCAAAAAAGAGCATTTTAGATGTTGTTGCAGTAAATACAGTTGCAAGAAAAAGTATGTGAACCCTTGGAATGATATGGATTTCTGCACAAATTGGTCATAAAATGTGATCTGATCATCATCTAAGTCACAACAATAGACAATCACAGTCTGCTTAAACTAATAACACACAAAGAATGAAATGTTGCCATGTTTTTATTGAACACACCATGTAAACATTCACAGTGCAGGTGGAAAAAGTATGTGAACCCCTAGACTAGTGACATCTCCAAGAGCTAATTGGAGTGAGATGTCAGCCAACTGGAGTCCAATCAATGAGATGAGATTGGAGGTGTTGGTTACAGCTGCCCTGCCCTATAAAAAACACACACCAGTTCTGGGTTTGCTTTTCACAAGAAGCATTGCCTGATGTGAATGATGCCTCATACAAAAGAGCTCTCAGAAGACCTACGATTAAGAATTGTTGACTTGCATAAAGCTGGAAAGGGTTATAAAAGTATCTCCAAAAGCCATGCTGTTCATCAGTCCACGGTAAGACAAATTTTCTATAAATGGAGAATGTTCAGCACTGCTGCTACTCTCCCTAGCAGTGGCCGTCCTGTAAAGAGGACTGCAAGAGCACAGCGCAGACTGCTCAATGAGGTGAAGAAGAATCCTAGAGTGTCAGCTAAAGACTTACAAAAGTTACTGACAAATGCTAACATCCTTGTTAGCGAATCTACAATACGTAAAACACTAAACAAGAATGGATTTCATGGGAGGATACCACAGAGGAAGCCATTGCTGTCCAAACAAAACATTGCTGCACGTTTACAGTTTGCACAAGAGCACCTGGATGTTCCACAGCAGTACTGGCAAAATATTCTGTTAAAACCGTGACACGCTTCTTAATGCATCAAATTGGTGCCTGCAATATTTAATTTAAAAAGAAAAGAAAAGCAGAGATTTTTCACTAATAGATTATATTATTCTTCACTAAGCAAAAGGAAATGGCTTCTATCCTGATTCTCATTTCGTACAAACGCTCATTTTATCATCAACAAGTATTGCAGGAATCCCCTACCCCAATATGTATAATAATATGGCCAGTTTAAAGGAGCACTATAGTCATCCAGACCACTTTATCTTGATGAAGTGTCCCTGTCCCCTTAATCCTGAGAGAAACAGGAAAGTTTACATTGCAGGGCCAAGTCCACCTCTCGTGGCTGTCAGTATGACAATTGTATATAATAAAAATACACAATTGTATATGTATATTTTATTTATTTAATTATATTTCATTTACTTTCATTTACTTTTTAGTGCAGCTGTTAAATAATTTTTTGTGGAGGTAATCAAATTTTGACTTAATTGTGCCACATGTCATCGTGACCTGTAGAGAACTGAAGATCCAGGGGCTGCAGAAATAAAATAATTATCTCCTTCCAATCGAGCTTGATGCTTCATATTCCTCAAACACCGAACAATAAAATAAACAAGTTTACTTTAAACAGATAATTATGTTTGAGTGTATCACAGATCTCCATAGCAATAAAACTCACACAGTTTTAATTTTTTTTAAATTGACAACCGTTAGAATTGACCAGAGAATTCCATGTTTCGGGTCATGGCAGATAAATTATATTAAAAAAAACCCCCCAAAAAACCCCCAAACTATTCATCATTTATGTTTTTCTAGCTCAATTAGTATGGTCTATATTTTCAAATTCGTTTATCAATTCCCGTCAATCCCCAATATAGTGAATAAAGTAATGTATAGGAGTAATACTAGCCTCAGTAATGTGTGGGTTTGCATCAGTGTATGCTAGTGATCTCCAATCATAAAATTACTAGTACTGTACGTTATCTGCGAATGTATCATTGAGTTCAAGAAAAAGAATAGTAATGTGAACCCTTGGTATATACCAGTGTTTATGCTTTGACTCCAGTGAGTCATCTGTTTGATCGTCTATCAAGAGCACCTGGATGTTCCACAGCAGTACTGGCAAAATATTCTGTGGACAGATGAAACCAAAGTTGAGTTGTTTGGAAGAAACACACAACACTATGTGTGGCGAAAAAAAGGCACAGCACACCAACATCAAAACCTCATCCCAACTGTGTAGTATGGTGGTGGGGCATCATGGTTTGGGGCTGCTTTGCTGCGTCAGGGCCGGACGGATTCCTATCATCGAAGGAAAAATGAATTCCCAAGTTTATCAAGACATTTTGCAGGAGAACTTAAGGCCATCTGTCTACCAGCTGAAGCTCAACAGAAGATTGGTGTTGCAACAGGACAATGACCCAAAGCATAGAAGTAAATCAACAACAGAATGGCCTAAACAGAAGAAAATACGCCTTCTGAAGTGGCCCAGTCAGAGTCCTGACCTCAACCCGATTGAGATGCTGTGGCATGACCTCAAGAAAGTGATTCACACCAGACATCCCAAGAATATTGCTGAACTGAAACAGTTCTGTAAAGAGGAATGGTCAAGAATTACTCCTGACCGCTGTGCACGTCTGATCTGCAACTACAGGAAACGTTTGGTTGAAGTTATTGCTGCCAAAGGAGGTTCAACCAGTTATTAAATCCAAGGGTTCACATACTTTTTCCACCTGCACTGTGAATGTTTACATGGTATGTTCAATAAAAACATGGCAACATTTCATTCTTTGTGTGTTATTAGTTTAAGCAGACTGTGATTGTCTGTTGTTGTGACTTAGATGATGATCAGATCACATTTTATGACCAATTTGTGCAGAAATCCATATCATTCCAAAGGGTTCACATATTTTTCTTGCAACTGTAGTATATGGCTAAATTGTAGCAGTTATGCCTAATATAAGGAAGACACCTGTGTAATACAGAATATTTGTGTTGGACATTAAATTCCCGTACAGATGGTATTTTTACATGACATGCGCATAGTCATCCTATCGGCGTATTAATAATGTAACCCTTACAGAAACCCCTGAAGTTCGGTTAAACTTATCATAGCTTTATTAAAAGTATTTTAAACTTGTATTTAATAATTAAATAAAGGTCATTGTCAACAACACTTAATGACATCACAGCACCATAACTTTTACATATGTTATGTTATTATTTATATAGCACCAACAAATTCCGCAGCGCTTTACAGTGGGTGGACGAACAGACATGTATTTGTAACCAGACAAGTTGGACACACAGGAACAGACACACAGGGTTGAGGGCCCTGCTCAATGAGCTTACATGCTAGAGGGAGTGGGGTAAAGTGACACAAAAGGTAAGGATGGTATTAGACTAATTACAGTTGCAGAAGAGGAATCAGTCAGGAGCTATTAACAGTTTAATTGATACGCTTTTACGCCAGACAATGACCCTGCCATAAATAACATCAATACATCCATATAAACATATAACATTAATAAAACACAAACAGGTGACACAGCCACCAAGGGCATCCATTTACTCTTGTAGGGGTATACAGAGACACCCCTACATACCCAGGTACTGAGCTACCGACGAGCTGAAACCTACCAAAACCAGATCAAACATCCTATTGCTCCTGAATCTAAAATATATCCCACGTGTGGAGCCGACCTAATCCCCAATTTCTCTCTCGATCCCCTGCCACATCACAGAGCTTGACCTCCTAAAGCCAACTGAGCGCCCCCACCCCGCATAAATAATGTCTGCCTAAGACCGTTCTGAAAACCTAGGATCAAGAAATCAATGCCTAAATCTGAGAGTCCGCCCATGTGCCCGGTGCCAATGAATCCTTGATTAGGCCTCAAAGCAAGAAGTCCCTAGCTGCCACATTTCATCCAGACAAGCCAAACCTTCCATCTGCGCTCCCAAAGCTTCTGCCTGAAATCTTGCCCACTGGAAATGAGAAAGCGTATCAGCAATTACGTTTAGGAAACCAGGCACATGACGTGCACGAAAAACAACATTAAAATGCATGCAACTCAAAACAGAATACCGAAGCAGTCGTACAACCGGGACAGAAGAAGCCGATAAGTTATTCACCACGTCCAAGACCGCCATGTTGTTGGTAAAGAAAACAACCTTCCTGTCCTTCAAAACAGGCCCCCATAACGATAAAGCAACCACCAATGGGAACAATTCCAAATAAGTGAGCTTGTGGTCCAGTCTGTGGGCCACTTTTCCGCACACCATTGGCCCGCAAAGTAGGCCCCAAAACCCAAACTACCTGACTCGGCAGTAAACAATTCTTATTCCGGCGATGAAACTGCCTCCTTCTGAAAGAAAAAACTCCCATTAAAATAACGAAGGAACACCTCCTAAACACCCAAGTCCTCCTTCATCGGACCCAAGACCCAGATAAAATGATGTGGTAAGCTTACCCCACAAGTGGCCTTGGCCAAGAACCGGTTGAACACCCTACCCATAGAGATCATCCGACAAGCGAAATTCAGTCGCCCAATTGACTGCAAAGCCCTCAAAGTCACTTTCTTAGATCCACGTACTTCCGCAATGATCTCCCACAGAGTGGCCAGAGTATCCTGCGGTAACCAGCATTCACCTGCCACAGTATCAATCTCGAGCCCCGAGAAACTAAAAAGAAGGCCCCACTGTCCTTACACCCACCAATGGTACCCTGAAAACGTGAGCCACCCATTCCTGCTTCCACAGCTCAATCCGACAGGTATCCGAACAAGCGAGGCTGACACACAAGAAGTCATCCAAATAATGTACAACAAACTTGGTGCCCGCCTCCCTCTTAACTACCCCCTCCAAAAAAGAGTAAGCGCATGAGATGGAACATCGCATGGGCAAACAGAGATCCACAAAGGATTTTCCATCATAAGAGCAACCCAGCAAATGATGACACCCAGGGTGAATAGGCAAAAGTCTGAAGGCACAACAATGCCCCAGGACCTGCTTTCCGAACCAACTCGACAGCTTGGTCGAATGATGCATAGGAAACCAAACAGACAACCAAACATCAATGTCATAATTTACCAACGCCCTCTTTGGGTAAGAAATATGATGGATTACTCTTGGGCACGACCCCTTCCTTTGAGCAGCCGACAAGGAGGAAGAAGAACCGGCACCAGCCCCAACCTGAAAGGGGGCCGCTTAATCCAAAACGGCAGGTCCATCTGATCCCACCGCATGCCAGGATTAGCCGACAGCCACTGACGGAACTGTTCATTGTACCGTCACCACGCAAGTCCACCATACGTTCAATAGGATTCCCACACCCCATCTAGATAGCAGAACAGTTGCAAGCATTTATCAGGAGAATTATCTTCCAGCACACTATTATTATTATTATTATTATTGTGATTTATATAGCGCCAACAGATTCCATAGCGCTTTGTCCACTAGTCAAGATGCAGAATGCCCTCAGCCAGTTGCCAAATGTTTTAGGTAATTTTTGATACCTACGCCATTTCTCCTCCTCTTCTTTCTTCAAATCCTTCTTATCCTCCTCCTTCAAGTCAAGATATTACTCCAGGGGAGAAGAGAAAAAGATTCTACAAATTTGACCTTCCATATTCGCTCCTTTACCTCGGATTTCAAGAGGAAGTCCAAAGGACTGGCAAACAAAACATGGACATTCTGACAAGTGGCATCAGGAATGTCCCCCAATATCAACACGCGCTCTGCAACCGCTTCCATGGCAACCGACCCATATGCCACCCTGACCATCTCACCTGCAGTGCTAATGGCCCCCTCCCATGTGCCCTGTGTGCTTGCCCCTACTTGTGCCGACCCCTGAACTCACACCTGACTAAATGAATCCTTCCTCCCCGTACCCGCACTCCATTAATTAAGCAAAGCTTTTAAACCCTTCACTAAGTCTCATTTGTGTGGTGCAAGCTGGGCCTTCCCATCCGAACCCCGTACAGCTGCCGGACCTAGAGGTTGCCTCCTGAAATCCGCCCTCTGCGAACCCTTTTGAAGCCGTAGCAAAACTTGATCAGACGACCTGTGAAAAGAAGAAGGTATTCTGAGTAGGTCACCACCAGAACTCCCAGCCACCCTGACCTCACGCCATGAGTCTGGCCTCCCTATCCTGAGTGCAGCATGTCCTGCCCACGCGTGGATGGTCACACACAGGGTGTCTCTCACTAAACTGAGAGTCATTGGGGACACCCTGCTGTGGCATGCAGTGACGTCGCTGTCTGTCACCATAGTTTCTTGCTGGGTGCTTCTCTCCACTGCCTGGAGCCGCTGCGCAGTGGGAGGAGATGCATTGCCTACTGGTGGCCTGGGACTCTTTCTCCCCAACTCTGGAGCCTCCCAGGGGTGCTATACTGTCCCCACTGGCCAAACCCCTTATCACCCTTATCAGATCTTGGGTGGGTAGGGGGTCCCCCAACCTTTTTCCCCTGCTGAAAACCAACTGAACCCCTGCTAGGCACAGAGGCCAACTCCCCCAGTACTCCTGAGCCTGCATCCTGCTGCTCCATCATCCTGGCAGAGCCCCCTGGGATCCGGGGGCCTACCACAGCTGAAATCTGCTATGTCCTGCCGACCACTGTAAGGTGCGTCATCACGCTGTCCTGGTCACACGCCTCAGTACCTGGCCAGCTCCCACGGCGTGTGGCTGTAATGGAACTCCTCCCTCAACCACCTCTCTCCATCCTGACTTCAGGCTCTTGCCGCACAGGGCTCGTGCTCCCTGTCTGCTGCAGTCCAACTTCCACTCGGAGACTCAAACGTTGCGGTGGCCTAGTCCGGCGTGCCAGCCTCCGAGCTTGGACAACAAGTGCAGCTGCTCCTCTTGCTGATGTACCCAGGCATTCTTCCAGGCAGGCAACTCCACGCTCCCTGTCAGCTACTCTGACACCTTCCAAAATCGCCTCCGTGTCACGATCTGCAATCCTGGCAGCCATCTGAAAGACAAAAAACTGAAAAACCCCACCAGCCTGCCAGAAACAAGTTGGTGAAAATTTTCAATTAGAATGGCTTATTACTAAAATGGCCACTATATATATCCCCCCTAAGCCCTGCCCCCTTAGACTAACTGACAAGACCCAACATTTCCTATGCTTGCCTCCTAGCTATGTCAAGGCCCATTCCACCTAGCTTTGCTGTTCTATAGTGGAACTTTACAAAACTGCATTCCACAAACTGTGATTAGGTTTGAAACATATACCTGTTTGTTCAATGTGTCACCATGTTTTTAGTCATATATTTAACTTTATCCTGTCTGAATTATTGCAAGATTTCACCCACATCTCTTAAAGCTTTCTCTACCTCTTTCCCCAAAATTCCTTTAAAGGATGAATAAATTAAAAAAGAAAAAAGTAGATATGAAAATGTAAATTTGTTAGGTATCTCTGAAGCACAATTGATACCAGAAAAAATATAATTTTTCCTGAAAAATATGCACATCTAACCCCCGCTCCCCTTAGTTTTAATTATAATAATTAGCCCACTTGGTAGATGTGTTCTGTTTAACAAAATCAACATAGGATTAATTCTGTAAGCTTGAAAATGTAAAAAAAGGCAAAAAAACCTTTCCAAGTGGAACAAACTTTTCAAGCGTATTTATTAGCGCTTACCATACTGATAATTTAAGTAACCAATGAAAAATAATAAATATAAATTAATAACATGTCATTGGAACAAAGTACCTGCGTGTTTTCATTGCGATCTCTCTATGGCTGACTGGCTCATGTTCACCAGCCACTTAATCATTAATCATATTAGCTCACATCCAATATTAGGGGTATTTGAATGCTTTCGACTGGAAAATAATGTTTTTGCAAAAAATCTAATTTTGAATAATATAAGACTAATTTAGCAGAATATTTGTAATACTAAAGCAAGGTTGAAAAGAGTTCTATATGGAGTGGTTTCAAATCAATTTTTCTATGTGTCGTGTTTTTTTTTTCCATTTTTTTTCTAGGCATTTTCTGTATTAATAAATTAAAGGGACATTTTAAGCACCAAAATTATTTCAGCTTGATGAATCAGATGTAGTGTAAATATCATGCCCATGCAATTTACCTGCTCAATTCTCTGCCATTTAGGAGTTAAATCTCTTTTTTTTCTGCCCTAGTCATCTTCACTGGCTCACACTGACATAGCCTCTCTACAAAATATATTGTTTACTTTTCAATTAGATTTGAAAGCACAGTGTGTTTACTTTAGAAGTTTATATCTCCTGCTCTCTTGCAGGGTGGAATTATACACCAGAAGTTGTTTGTTCGTAAATTAAGCCATGAACAAAGGGCTGCCTGATAATGGAGATAATGGCAGAACTTTATCATTGTCCACTAAGTGCAAAATATGGTCAGCAGAGTGTCTCAGGAAGGTCATGAATGGTTCCATCCAGTTGGGAGAGCTAGGTTCTTCACAAATGTGTAGGGCCAGAAAAGGGAAGGAGGAGAGCTCCAGTCTTTGAGCTAAGGCATGCTACACATGAACTGTAGTGCAATTAGAGGACAAATTTTGTGCTGACATTGGTAGCCAACACTACCAATGGCATATCAAACTGAATTGCCTCAACCTCTTTGCATAACATATGCACCCCATCCTTGGACCACTTCAAAATGCATAGGCAGGTGTGTCACCAAGTAACAACGTTTAATGTCGGGGACGGCCAGACCCCTCCCAACCTTAGACAAACTGAGAGTGTTGTAGCTAATATCTGGTTTGGTGTCAGCTACAAGTTTAGTTAGTGACAAGCATTTTGTATGTCAAATGTAGAGAATGTGTGGTAAAAGCTCCATTTAGATGACCCCTGCCAAGCCAGGAGAGGTCCGGCAACATGTGATGGTCACGTTTTGCTGAACCACATTTAAAAAAGGTTTGAGGGTTACGGCAAAAATGGACATCAATTAACTCTGTCTAATGTCTTCCCAATTTACTCTGGATTCACTCTGTCGAATGCCTTCCCAATTCATTCTGTATTCACTCTGTCAAATGCCTTCCCAATTCATTCTGTCGAATGCCTTCCCAATTCACTCTGTCGAATGCCTTCCCCCTATTTTTAGAAGTTAGGAAAAGGCTGCTCAAGGTCATAGGCGAA